AGAACCAAAAACAAACCAAAAAAAAAAGAATGAAAAGTCTAATCTATTTTATTTATTTATTTATTTTTTTTTGGTAAGTGTTTTACGGCGTGTTCGCAACTGCATAAGGTCATATGAACAGGCTGTCTGTTTTATTACTTTTTATATAAATGACTTAAAAAACCAAACACTATACAGAGACTGTGTGCAGCAAAACGGGGAATGGTGTTTTGTTTTTTGAGTCATTTATATCATAAATGTTAAAATAAAGTTTCATGTTTTGGTTCTGACTTTTTTTTTGGGTTGTTTTTTTTTGTCTCCGTATCTTTTTGTTTTACTTTGTATTTTGTAGCTGAATATGGTTAAATCAGTCTTTTCTCCCACTTGTGAACCATTACTTACTTACTTTTACTTTACTTTTTACTTTTTCATCCTCTGTTGCCGTTAAGCGTCGAGTGGAGATGCAGTTTTCTATGGTAGGCCAGCTCCGCAGCTCTTTCAGTTGTGATGTTATGTTTTCTTAGGGTTTCCTTGACACCCTCGATTCACCTTTTGTGAACCATTAATGATGTTTGTGTTTAGATTTTTCCTTCTGTACTCATAAGGAGCAGATTTCTAACAAAAGTGCTGTTTGTTTTTACCCACAGGAGTAATTGTTTTTCTATGTCCTGGTTTTTCCGTATGTGGACACATTTCCTCGTTGAGTTGCTTGAAGCAAAAAAAAACAAAAATTCAAAATTAGCAAAGATATCAAATTACTTTTTTCTTCATTAAGTTTTTGTGTGTTCCTTGTGGGGACCAAATGTTTGATCTACGCTGTGTTTAGCGAGGCCTTGAGCTTCAACAACGAGTTGCTCACTTTTGTGTTCGCAGCATCATTTGTGAAACCAAGTCAGCGGCAGAGGAAACATCTGGCTTGGTGATCGTAGACGTGAAAGACTCGATTGCCATGTCTAAACGGCCGTACCAGATTTACGGATTTACGCCCTCTCCCGAGCCTTTTCACTTCAAGGTACGTGGGTGTTTGAAGGACTCCTTTGAAAGTAGGATCAATTTCTGTAAAACAGCATGGGCCGAGAACACAAGACATCAAGACAAAGAAAAATTAACTCGATAAACAGGCAAAGCATGCAAAGTTTCAACGTCTACATTCCCTTACTTGGATGAGTTGTACATTGCGGCTTTCGCTAAAAAAAATTAATTCCATCTTTATGGACAACAAACATCCCTTGTTCCCTCAAATAAAAACATCAGTCAGAAGTAAAAGACCTGGGCTTATGATCTGTAACAAAGAAAGATACAGGTCATTTTTACCATCTTCCATCGAAATTCTTCCATCTTAACCATCTTGTTACAAGTATTCATATGACCTGTGAGCATGCATCAGACTATCATTGAGTTTCAGTCAGAATGCTGAGTATGTATCTAGCTTAAGATCATTATTGTTTATACTTTAGTCTCCGCCTAAGATCCCACTGCTTACGATCCCGGTTCCCTTAAGATCCCGCTGTTTTAAGAAAACTGAATTTTTACTATACAAAAGTCACCCCTAAGATGCCGCTGTGATTCACTCTGAAGGTCTACATTCGGCTAAGATCCCGCATTTCAGATCATAATTTGCGGAACAAAAACCCGGGCAGGCACAGCCGATCAACCAAGAGTGAAAAATTGAGATCAACAAACTGTCCGTCACGTCAAAGATCAGCCACTATCGTAAATGTGATGACATACACATTGTAAAACTCTGTGAAATGTTGCAACGTTTGCCCCAGACGGGATCACACATAGGTGTGAACTGACCGATGAGTTTGTTTTCCCCAAACCTCGCGCTCACATCTTTTGAGCTCTCCGCCTAACTTCGCTCTAGATGGGATCACATTGAACAGTGAACTCTTCCCTGACCATTGCAGCCGTTGTCTCTACTCCCGAATTTGCAAGACAGACTGAATTTTTATTGGTGTGGTCACAACGTAGTGGTGCGTAACGATAAAGGCGAGGGAACTTGGTCAGAGAAGGAAAGCTATACATTTTCGACAGGTAAAGGGGAGGGGCAACTGGATAAGTGTAGATCTTGAGACTCACGATGGGATAATAAGTGAAAATGGCTCGCCTCATGCCACTATGCACTGTGATAGGTCATCAAGGTTAACCACTCTTGGCTCGCCATATGTCATATAAATCCACACAGGGGTCACATCAGTTCATTTTAGAGTGGAGGCTGACCATTTTACAGATTGCGAGCCTTAGCACGGGTCACCGTAGATTCTTCCCGGGGTTGGTAGGTTAAGATCCCGGTTCACCTAAGATCCCGCATTTCCTTGCTTCCGAGCACCGGGATCTTAGGCGGAGACTACTGTTTTACTTTTCATTTATTTTATGCATGTGGCTGTAAGCCTGCGTGTGTGTGCATGTTTGTGTGTGTGCGCGTGTGTATATGTGTGTATGTTGTGAACCACCTAACCAATGTGTCAGAGTCTGGACAAGAAAGATGTGTCTTACCATATCTCACCCTATTGCTAGGTCCTGGATATTATACTTTCCCTTTCTTGTTTCTGTCTGTTCTGCTTTTCTCTCTCTCACAGTAGGCGGTTTGCGGGTACACTGGTTGTGGATTGATCCTTCTTTCGTTTTATGTTACTGTTGTATATCGTATTGTTTTGTAAAGCTCTCAGAGCCTGTGTGCTTCAATCGGGGTTGAGCTCTGAATAAATGTCATTTATTATTATCTTTATCTCCGTCCATGGGTGGTTGGCGGGTGCTCTGGTGTTGTTTGCTACTTCTTTCCCATCAAACATGTATCGTCCTTATCTCTCCTCCATCTTTTATGTGTATGTTACTCTCTTGTAACACCTCTAATCTTCAGCACTTATATGACCTTATTGTGTTGCAAGTGCCATAAAACTCTTACTAAAGCTAAAGACCCAGGATCGGACACATAAGTGTTTTGTTTTATCTGCCCTGTCTTGAGTAGACGCAGGATTGGACACTATTTTAACTCTGTAAACCCTGTTGGACGCTGGGACCGACCGGCAGTAATAACCATTTTCCCCCGTCGGACGTTGGAAGAGTCCAGTACTAGTGACGACTGTTTCGTTTCATTTAGTGCTTGTTTTTGCTTGTTTACTGGAACTCTTCCTGAACAAAGTTTTTTAGTAATGACTGACTTAGCCTTTGTTTCCGCCATGTAGAAGTCGGAGGCAAGCTTTTGGGGCAGTGGGTGGTTGGCGGGTGCTCTGGTGTGGTTTTCTTCTTCTTTCCTATCAAACGTCTATCGTCCTGATCTCTCCTCCTCCTTCTATTTTGTGTTTGTTACTCTCTTGTAACACCTCTAATCTTCGGCACTTATATGACCTTATTGTGTTGCAAGTGCCGTAAAACTCTTCCTAAAACTAAAAGCTTTTGGGGCTATCATGAGACATAGAGCACCAGGTTTAGGTGACTGTAGAAAAAAACTCTGGGAAACGGTGGAAAACAACTCAGGGTTTAAAGAGTTAAATGCTTTGTTTTGTCTGTCCTGTGCTGAGCAGAAGCCGATCATCTCAACATTTGAGCCCCAGCGAGGACCCCGAGCCGGGGGCACAAACATCACGATCCGAGGCAGAAACCTGGACGTCGGGACCAGTATCCGGGTTGTAATAGCCGATCACGCCGAGTGCAAAATCATTCCTGGCAGGTCAGTGGGGTTTTTGTTTACTTTAAAATCGTTATATACTTTATGTGTGCTCGCTTTTAAGCACAAAGGGGCTGTCCCGGAAAATAAATACTGTTTTGAGAAAATCAAAGGTAACCTTTTGCCCCTTGTTCAGTTTCTTTAAAAGACAAGGGATAGTTTTCTCTACAACCATTTTTCAATATTGTTTTATGATTTCTTCTTGAACTCGGATCAGATTTGTTACTGCCTTTTGTCCGCTGTTTTAGTCTGCCATAAGCTGACAAAACCTTTTTTTTTCTATTTTGGCGGCAACATTTTTTATTTGCTAAATCGAAAGCCTGATCAAGTGTGTGAAAAAATCAAAGTGAAACTGTGACGAAGTTTTTGAATGAATTTGAAACCAAATTTTGGAAGAACTCTATTTTCCAATTGTTATGCTGACCAAAAACCCCCTCTTTTTCTCGAAACTGCTGTGAATTTTAATAAAGGCGTTTTGTCAGCGTACGGATCTTTCGCCCGCGAACACAACACATCCCACTGAATTCTTACCTAACTAGGATCCGCAAGGATACCCGACCTGACTGCCCGTTGTGTGACTGCCAGGATGAAGCAGTACCACACCACCTCTTTAACTGCCCTGCACTTTGCGACCTGCGTAGCACCTCCCTAACTGCCTCCCCAGATATCGGAAATACTCTATACAGCGACAAAACACAGCTGATAAAAACCTGTAAATTCTTTGCCATATCAACAGGCCGAAGGCCGATATATATACATGTTTGTATTCACAGTAGAATTGTAAATGGGCTAGTTTATCAATGTCATGCTCAGATGGCCGCTGGATCGGAAAAGTAAACTAAGTCAGCGTACGGCAGTAGTGTTGGTGATGCCTAAGGAAATATTTAAGTAAAAGAATCTGTACTTTGTGCACAGAGTGTAGTAACCTGGCTCGTTGGTTCTCTCCTCCCCCCCACGGGGTGATGCTACTGACTGAAATGACTTTAGTCCATTCCCGAAGGGGAGATATATATACATGTTTGTATTCACAGTAGAATTGTAAATGGGCTAGTTTATCAATGTCATGCTCATACTTCGCCGGAACAACATCAGGGGAGCTGCTGCTTTTTCTTTCCTCATCCTTCCTGTCGTAATTTTTCCTCTATTTATTCTGTATGTTTGTCACCCTCTTGTAAACTGCTATTTCATGGGTGCCTTGATAGTCGAAGCAAACTTTCTGCTGTTGAGGCTAGAGAGGTGAGCAGAGTAAGCCTGATTGATTCCTCGTTTGGATTTCTCTATTGACTTCCACCCCTTGGCGCTCATATGACTTTATGCAGTTGTGAGCGCCGTAAAACCTTACTAAAACTAAAACTGTCTACTTCAGCGTGAACTCCACTCAAGTCTCGTGCACCACCAAGCTGTGGCGGAATTCGGCGCGCTCCCGGAAAAGAAAAAGTGTTTCGGAAAGGGCCCACGTCTCTGGCTCACTGGAGGTGTCGATCGATGCGGCGAAAATAGTCCCCGCCAAGAACGGACAACTGATACCGTTCTACTACATGCCCAACCCGGAAGTGAACAACTTCCACCCGAAGAGGTCTTTCGTCAGGTAGGTGATTTTTTTGTGGGTGGTTGGAGGGCGCACATATCCTGTGCGACATGTCTATGGGCCACCCTCGCCCTGTCGTACCCCCCCCATCATGGACCAAAACTGTTTTTGAGGCACTGCACAACCTTTCTCACCCTGTGGTTTGCTCTTTATTTCGTATCAAACATCTATCGTCTTTATCTCCCCCTCCTTCTTTTTCGTGTTTGTTACTCCCTTTGGGACACCTCCAATTCTTCGGCACTTATTGTGTTGCAAGTGCCGTAAAATTCTTACGTGTATAAAAAAAAGAAGGTAATTTTACCCTCCACTCACACATTACATCTTGTTCACTTTCGTCTGTCCGCGTAAAACAAAATTCTGGCTCATTTACTATTTGAACTAAGCCCACGGAACTTTGCATGGCACTTCTGCAGGCCAGTGACCGAGTGAATTTTAAATGTTTTAAATGCTTCTTTCCTATCAAACATTAATCATCCTTATCTCTCCTCGTTTTTTGTGTATGTTACTCTCTTGTAACTTCGGTACTTACATGACCTTATTGTGTTGCAAGTGCCGTAAAACGTTTTCTAAATTTTTAACAAACTTCCCCTTTTAATCTCACAGCGGAGGACTGCCTATCACCGTCAGGGGATCGAACCTGGATGCATCAGTGGCGCCTCAGCTGAGGGGAACCTACGGCAATCCTAATGACAACCTCGACAGCTCAGCGGTAAGGATAATGATTAAGTGGGAAGTGTGGTGACATAGTAATTATAATAATAGATAACATTTGTACAGCGCAAAGCCCCGCTCAACAGCGAGCTCTATGCGCTCCACAATCTATACCTTTACCCCAGCAGACCTGAGAGCATTCTGAAACAACCTCAACATCCTTGGAAGCATACAGTGCAAGCAGCCATTTATAGATGCTAAAACACTAAAATACTGGCAAGATCTTTCGCTGTCTATGGCCAGGTACCCATTCCCACATGGGTGAAGTGAGGAAAATTTGTGTAAAGTGCCTATCCCAAGGACACAACGTAGGGCCAGCGGTTCGAACCCCCGAACCTGCTACCTCACGATTACGAATCCGGTAGCCTAACTGCAAAATGAACTACTTCTCGGATTCAAGCCTGAAGGAAATAGATACATCATGGTGATATGTGAAATTTTTACAATTTATAAGTATGAACTAATGAAAAAACAGGTTATAGTTGAAGAATATGGCGTCAATAGAAAATCGACGAATTTGACCCTGATGACGATTGTTGGCCAATATCTCTCTCACAGGTCACCAACTGTAGTGTGATGGGGTTTGTTTTTATGAATGAATTGTAGAAACCATGTAGGCTGTTCCCCACCAGGGCAGTGCTACTGACTGACGTTGTCTTAAGACCATTCCCAAAAAGGGGATATTAACATGTTGTTATGTACAGTAGCATTGTAAATGGGTTGATTTATCAATGTCATGCTCATACTGTGCCGGAACAACATAGGGGGAACTGCTGCTCTTTCTTTCCTCATCCTTACTATGGTCATTTTGCCTCTACTTCTTTTATATGTTTGTCACTCTCTTGTGAACTGCTATGTCTGGGGTGCCTTGATAGTCGAAGCAGACTTTGTGCTGTTGAGGCTAGAGAGATGAGCAGAGTAAGTCTGATTCCCTGTTTGGACTTCTCTGTTGACATCCACCCCTTGGCCCTCATATAACCGTATGCAGTTAAGAGGGCTTCAAAACCTTATATTCTCACAGTCTTTATTTTTATGAAAGATGATTTGTGTAAAAAAACCTCTTTAAAAAATTTGTTTTTAGCATAAAACTATATTTTATTATGAACACAAAGCATTTTAAGTATCGGCTTATAAATGGCCAAGAATAACTTTTTAATGAAACTCAAATAAAAAAAATAATTTAAAAATGGATTTATGACCTAAATGTCCTGCTACTCACTTTGAGCAAATGTGTCTACCATTCCATTTCTCCTGGCATGGACACATGTTCGTTTTTTGTTTTAGTAGCTTCTTTAGATATGAAATTGTTCTTCATGTTTCAAGAAATCTTAAACATTTTAACTCTTTATCTCCGTCTGGGGTAAACCATATTTTGGTACGAAATCTAAAATTGACATTATGTCACTAAAGATGGTCATAAAATGTAAAAAAGTTAACCTATTTCGATAGTTCTTCATCTAATGAATTATCTCTCGGTAAAAGAAACCTGTTTTCGGCAATTGCTGAAAAGTAATTTGACGCTCTCGTCGTCGTAAAGGAATGGGCCCGAGCCACACTGTCACCGGCTCATCGGCACAACGTTTCCGACTGCGAGCTGCTGCTGGGAGCGGCTTGCTGGATATAAAGAATAAATAAACCCTGCAGTTTGTTTAGCCGCAGAGGTGTCCCTAATCACGGGTCTAAATATTCCGCTATTTAGCGGATTTCCCCTACCCCATTTCCTCCTCTACTCCCCACTACCCAATAATGCGCCACCACTCTCTGTACATTATCAAGATTGTAATTATTTGGTTAGTGACTATTTTACTTGAAATTATCTTCCAAACCCTCAAATTGGGATTGAAATTACCTTGCTTTGATAAATTGATGTTTTTTTTAGATTTCAGCCTTCTAGGATTAAACAGTTTAATAATAACGGGTGTTTAGCGAAAATGGTCTTCAGACTCTTTTGTCGCGATCACGCGGAAAGTTCCCCCATTTGCAAAATTCTGAGTTGAAACTCGTGCTAATGTATGAGTAATAGAACTTTTTGCACGTGCTCATATGACCTTACGCAGTCGCGATCACCGTTAAACTTTTACCAAAACACAAACAGAAGTCATTTGTGACATTTGTGTTTTTCCATTCTCAGATTTGTGAAACTCAGGACGACGGACAAGTCATGATTTGCCCGTCAATGAATGTCACAAAAGTTACGGGACTCCGCGTCATAGAGCGACCTCCGGAAGTAGTTCATGTGTACTTCCTCTTTGACGGCTACAAAGTTCCTTCGGATCACGTGCTGTCAGGTAGTTTTATCCTCCCGGGTGTGCTGTCCGTATCCTGGTATGGATCTTAAAGCACATGTGTCTCGACGCTGTGGAATCAGGCACTCATCAATTTTGGGGCGTATGGAGTTAACGGTGTCATCTTAAAGCCGGTCCATTTGCCTTGCTTTTTATTTTTAAAAGAAATATCTATTTATCTTGGATACAAGTCGAGATATCGATGATTGAAGGAGATGAGAGTTGCCTGGTTTCAGAGGTAAAATTAGCGAGAAAATGGCGTCAAAGTTGAGTTATTTCCTTTACTTTAGAGTCTTTGTAAACTGAACATTTACAAATGTTATGCCTTTTAATCTATGTTTTCAGTAAAGTTCATTTATACTGTCATAGCAGTAGTAGCAGTAGGAGGAGGAGATGTAGGTAGAAGGAGGAGGAGGTAAAAGTAGTAGTAGGAAGATTAGTGAGGAGGAGGAGTAGTAGAAGTAGGAGAAGGAGTAGGAAGAATAGGGAGTAGGAGGAGGAGTAGAAGTAGGATGAGGAGGAGGAGTAATATTAGTAGTAGTAGGAGTAATAGTTAGAAGTAATAGGAGGAGGAGGAGGAGGAGAAGTAATAGTAGGGAGAAGGAGGAGGATTAATAGTTAAAAGTAGTAGTAGGAAGATTGGGGAGTAGGAGTAATAGTAGTAGGAGGAGAGGAGAGATAAGAGTAGAAGTAGTAGTAGGAAGATTTAGGAGAAGGAGTAATAGAAGTAGGAGGGGTAGTTGGAAGATCAAGGAGTAATAGAAGTAGGAGGAGGAGTTGGAAGATTTAGGAGGAGGAGGAGGATTGATAGTAGGAGAAGGAGTAATAGTTAAAAGTAGTAGTAGGAAGATTAAAGAGTAGGAGTAATAGTAGTAGGAGGAGGAGTAGTAAGAGTAGAAGTAGTAGTTGGAAGATTAGGAGGAGTAATAGAAGTAGGAGGAGGAGTAGGAAGACCAAGGAGTAATAGAAGTAGGAGGAGGAGTTGGAAGATTAGAGAGAAGGAGGAGGATTAATAGTAGAAGAAGGAGTACTAGTTAAAAGTAGTAGTAGGAAGATGAAGGAGTAGGAGATGCATTGTCATTAAATTGCTATCATTTTTTTCTGTTGTTCTGAATGAGTTTTGTCCCCCCCC